AAAGACTGGTCATCTTTGCCTTGTCCTTTCAGTTTTCCTCTTTCCTACTCCTGTTTCTTCACCTTATCCCTGTTCCCTTTAACTGCCAAACCCCAGCCTTCAATTCCTACATCTGTCATGCCACTTCCAGTTTCTTAACCCAAAATGGGTCAGAGCCCAACTCTTTGGCCTTAACACCTTCTTTCACACAGGACAGAAAACTTCAGTCCCAACAATAAAGCTTTTTTTAAATAAGAAGCAATTGTAAATAGGCTCCTGTAGGAAGTTTCTCTCCTGCTGCAGAATTTTAACAATAGATGATGTTACCCCCTACACATAAAGACATTTGTGTGGGAGGGTTAAAGAAGAAGAATTTTTGCTGCTATTGGTATCTGCATCTCTTTGAATTATAAATTAGAACAAAAGATCTCTGTGATGGCTAAGTGACAGAAAGGATTCTGAGCCAAGGCACACAAAAATATGCAAAAAAATGTATATAATTTTATAACAAAACAACTTCTGGTATTTGAAAAATATGCTTAATAGGACTAAATCTAAATTATTGGCCTAAGAATTTGAGGAAAATGAAGACAATGAAAATCTTCAGTTTGAGTTTACCATGAAAATGGTGGAAAGATATTTTATTGTATTATTTATTCACGGATATGTAGAAGTCAGCACTTCAAACCTGTTTACTTAGGTATTGCTCTTTAAGCTTCAATTTTAGACAAAGTAAATTCAAAGCATGATAGAAAGTGACAATTCATATAAGAATCTATAATTTTCTGGTTTGTCGCTTAGTGCAGAATAAATGCTGAAAAGATCAAGAAACTTACATGTTTTACAAGTGCTACCTCTGATGGAGATCTTGCTTAAATAGTCTGAAATAACAGGCCCATCATTTCTAACTGTCTTGTGATTGAGGAACTGCTTCAGAATTATCCCCATAATCATCCCCTACATACAGAAGCTACATCTTTCTAGAACCTTTTAAAGTTTGCATCCTTCTATTCAAGTAGAAAATGCATTACGACATATATTTGTGCCTCTAAAATTATAAATAATGACATTTTACAAGCAAGATAAATTAAAGCAAAGTTAAATGCTTGAGGCAGTGTCAGATTGACTTTTTTTTGTAAGTAACATGCCAGTTTTGTGCTTTCTACTCAGATAAGTAAAAACTATTTTTCTTTCTGAAAAGAAAAAAGAAATGAAAACCACTCCACAAAGACAAACTGCAGTGAAGATTATTTAGTTAGGTTCATTTTTGAAAACTATTTTATGCGTCTGACTGTTCTACTTCTAGATAAAAAGGTGAGATTTGCTTCACTGAGTCATTATTCTGAAATATTTACCAATAACAGCACACAAACACTGTAGAGAGTGAGGCCATTACACAAACACAAATTACTTATCAGAGCTCCATCCTCACTGCAGAATTACCAGTATCAACACTTCCTACTTCTCTGTTTCACTGATTTTCCCTCTTAAAATTTTGATTTAAACCTCCTTGGAGCGTCAACTTCCTGAGGCTCAATATTGCTTTCTGCTTCTTCATTATTTAGTTCTGTGAAGCAGAGACAGTTGAAAGTCAAAATCTATACCCTATATTGACTGGGGGAATCAATTAGAGGATAATGTGTGTGAAGTACAGTTAAAATGACTGGGAAGATTGGTAAGCTCCAGAGTGACATGAAAAACTCATATAATGATGCTTTATACATGTGTTCACTTGCACAGAGAGGATCTCAAACTGCAAACACTTTTGCATACAAGTGTCAGACAACTCCATCACTATCACAAATCTGCAGAGTTACAACTGGGAAAGCAACTTGCTCACAGGTGGCTGAATTGAGAGCAGAACCCAAGATGTATCACGTCCTCTTGATAGATTTCAGTCCCTCCCTAATACACACACGTTCTTTTTTAGTCCTCTGAGTGACAGCATCTCACTGTGCTGCAAGTACACACCACTTAAAACTTCTGTGCCCCTTTCTGTTTTGAGCCTTATGCTGTCATCTGCCTTCCTGAAGCACCTGCTGCTCATGTAACATGATAAAATATGTTATCTACATTAACTCTGATGTCAATTTAACTTTTTACTCCTAATCACAGCTTGTTACACCACCCTGGCATGACAGTTTTGTTTAATTGCGCAATTTGCCACCAGATTACTTTTGAAAGTAATTTATGCAGCTCTTTGCCAATTAATAATTAGGTTGTGCTCTTAAGGAAAACCTTGCATGGAAGTTTGAGGATTGATGCTGATCTAGACACCTATATCATAGTTCATCTTTAACTTTCTGTGGAAGTTTGGCTGGTAGAAATGTGTCCCACAGCAGTTAATATGAATGCTTGTTTTTAGCTTTTAAGTAGTGGTCAGTGCAGAAGCACAGTTCACTTTGAGTTGTCTCTAAATGGAATATCTAAATCAAGAAGTTTTAGCTTCTCTCTCAAGCCTCCTTTGCTCTAAACTGTATCAGCCAGAAAAACTCCTGTAATTTGCTGGAAAATTAAACCAGCCCAGTTCTGCTGGCCAATATCTTGTGGAGTCAGGATAAGTAAATAAGAGGCTTTTTACTTTTCACAGTAATTTTAGCTTAGGTGAAGATCACAAAAATGCTGTTCTAATTATTGCATAGACAATGTACATATGTTTACATTCATGAATTCATCTGCAAGGCTTGAAAGCAGTTATAAGAAAGAGAAAGCTGCAGTTTCATGGCCCCAAGTATTTTGAAGACAGGCTTTAAGTACAGCCATAGCAGTCTCTTGGAAACCAATGTGAGTAACAGCAAATCAGTTAAAGATTTGCAGAAGAGTCTGGGTTGCAAGCACCCAAGAAAGTTTGCATATTTTACCAAAATTAGAGCTAGAGCTTCACTGCACAAGGGACTCATATTCACAAGGATGACAATTCAGCACTCAGAGAACAGAAGTATCCTGCTTTGGATACAATTCTGAAAGCTGCTCCTGAATACCTGGATATATTGTCTCTTACTTCCAAGTGTCCTACAATGGTCTTGGATCCGTGTTTCTCTGAAGGATGGATGACCTCATTCTTAGGTTGAAACACACTCCTCACTCAGCAGAGAGAACTTGTCATCTGTGTAGTAACTTAAATTGATTTTGATAATAGTGAAGAGAGAAGAAAACATATTTTATGAAGTCTAAACAACTAACTCTTACTGGAAGAGGTCTGTGTTTTGTAACTGGAATGATAAAAATATATGATGTTTTCTTCTGATGGATGATGCACATGTTCCACTGGTCAATGAAGAGCCTCCCACTCCCACTTCAAATCCTGTTTCTGAGTGTCTCATCAAAAGAGAATGGTTTTATATTTCAATCCTCCAGCAATTACGTAGTTAATTCAGTCCCTGAGGTAGATAACTCAAACATAATTTCAAATGTTTCACATAAATCTTTCCAAATAATTGCAACAAGAAAGCACACTAATTATTGTCACCCAGTAATCACAGCAAATACAAATTGATTGCATGGTATAAATGAGTATACTGATTGATGAAACAAACAAACAAAAAAAGATGCTGTCACCCCAGAACATTTCATCTTTCTTTGAAACAAAATTTCTTTAAGTTTGGGCAAAGGATCCACCTTTACTCCAACTCTGACACAGGTCTACCTTATACTCTTTAAGTATGAGTCCAAGTTTTTGTAAGACTGAGCATAAAACTGGGATGGGTAATTTTATTTGTTCCACATTCACTGCAGTAATAGTTCTGAGAAGAACATAGTTATCTGAGTTCTGACTAATGAGAGAAAAATCTCCAAAAGTAAAACAACAGTGTGAAATACAAAATTAACCAAGAATGTTCTCTATTCCTGAAAGTCTCTTGACCACTGGATTTGGGAATGCTCACTTGAAAACATGAACTGAATGACTCCAGGGTTCACGACTCTCTGCCCTGGTTATTGAATTTGGGTATGAACAGAACCTCAGTGAAAACAGACCAAGGAATTATAAGACAAAGAAAAAACCAATCCCAGACAGATAAAGAGAATCAGAGAGAAACACAAGGCTAGCAATTCACATTTTGGAATAAAACAGTTATTAGCAACTGAACAAGGTACTTAAAGACATTTCAAGAGATTAATACTAATAAGACTGGTACTGGACATTTCTCCATCCTGGGAAGTTTTAAGACTTACTTAGGTCTCTGTTGTGAACATTGGATTGGCAGCTTCACAAAGTCTTGACAGAAGACTTTGTGAAGCTGCCAATCCATGTGAAGCTGTCATCCAAATCCATGACATTTACCCCTGCACTTAGTTTCAACCACACCACATATTGTTTAGCTGACTGATTGTACACATGATCTGGGCAACCAACTGATGGCTTTTGACTGAGATTCAGCTATCCTTCCCTCATTAGAGACCTTCCTCAAGCACAGAAAAACACCCCCCATGTCTTTGTGACTCAAATGACCAGGAGATTGGTCTCTTAATCTCAAATAACACAAGACACGCAATTAATTCCTAACATGTACTGACACTATTGACACAACTGAGGTGAAAAGGCTGACTTGTGGTCTTTGGTAGATAATTTTCCTGTATACATTTCAAATAAATCAATCCTCAATTTTATAATTAAAATAATTGATCTGATTCTATCTGATTTCATCAGAACAACTCAAGTGATGAAGTTACAACTCTGACAAAATCTCATTGTCATCTACCCTTTTTCTTTGTTGATATTCAACACTCGAAACCTCCTGATCTCCCCTTTTCCGGAGTCTTTGCACCAGCCACATCACTGTCATTCATCCTCTCACTTTGTGCAGTGCATCTTTAAGTGTTGAGCCTGGTTTTAAGCCGGAGCTTTCCCCCCTCATCAAGCCAAGGGGGCCAGACTTACAGAAGTGTGATCCCTCCCCATGCTCTCCCTGTTTTTCCTGTCCTGAGACCACACCCAGCCTATGAGTAAAGACATACTCTAAAAGCTCTGCTCCACATGGGACCCAGCGCTGAGGGGCAGCCGTACCGCAGCCTCTGAACGCAGCCGGGCCGGGCCGGCCCCTCAGGGCGCTCCCGCCCGGCCCTGCCTGCCCTGAGGGCGCGGGCGCCTCCCGCCGCCGCCCGCCCTGTGGCGGCCCCGGGGCCAGTGGGCGCGGCGGTCCCCGCCGCCAGCGCAGCCCCCTGCCCGCCCGGCTCCGCCCGCCACAGCCACCTCACCTCCCCTCGCTTCTCTTCGCCTCCCGCCCGGGTGCCACCGAGCCGAGGCGCCGGGCGGGCAGCGGGCGGGCGGCCGCGCCATGAGCGCCGAGTGCAGCAGTTACCTCAACGCCGACAAGGTGCTGGTGAGCGGGTTCAGCTGCCCGCGGGCGGGCGGCGACGCCCGCGCCGTCTTCTGCTGCGGCTTCCAGGACGTCAAGTACTGCTGCGATGACCCCCACAGCTTCTTCCCCTACGAGCACAGCTACATGTGGTGGCTCAGGTAGGGCAGCGGCGGTGCCCGCCGGGGTAGGGGCGCCGGGCGGGAGACCCGTGGTCGCCCGAGCTCGGCTCGGGTGTGTGTTTGTGAGGTACTTGTAGCCGGGCACTTTCAGGCTGCCTTTGTCCCGCCGAGAGTAGCGGTAGAGCTGCATCTTCAGCCCAGAGAGACTCTTGCTCGTGCCAGGGTAGTTTCGGAAGGAAATAACTCGTGGTCCTGGTAAGGAAGCGCTGGGAAACGCTCGGTGCCTCTGGCCGAGCATCCGGAGCGTCTCCCGTCCTTCGGGCGTGAGGGGAGCGGCTGTCTCGGGGCCTGAGCGCGTAAGATGCTGCCTGCCATAAAGTTCCCAGTGACTTGAGCGACTTTTCCATGTAAGATAAAGCACTACGTAACTTTCCACTTGGAAGGGGCAGATAGCGATCCTGGTGCTCTCCCGGGATAGTGCAGGGATCCGCCTGGCGCTGGCTGGATCCCCAGCAGCGGCAGGGAGGGCTGCGCTCAGCCAGCCCGGCTGCTTTCTGTGCCCGATTCCCCCCGGGCTCCACAGCAGCCAGGCTGGCCGTGTCAGGATGTTAGTACACCTCTGCATGGGGCTTCCACTCTGTTTCTTATGGACTTGTTATTATCCTTGATTTTGTCAAATCCCCTTCTGGGCTTGCTTATAACCGTCTGCTTCTGCAACCCTGGTGGCAGCAGTCACTACCTGCTGTTTGAATAGAGATCCTTTTATCTGTTTTATACTGCTCCCTACTACTTTTCCTGAGTGCCCTCTAGTATTCGGATTGTGAGATTTGGTGAACAGCAATTGCAAGTTCAGTTTATGCACAGTGTTTAAAATATTGTGAGCATTTGGGGCATCTGTTCTGAGCTTTCACCTTTCCAAAGTGAACAGCTTTTGCATTATCCTTGAGGCAGATGCTGTGGCACACTGATTGTTTTGGTTCCATCTCATCCATACTGTTTTTCACTCCACAGGGCTGATCTTGGAGGTGCATAATCTGGAGCTGCATGCCCAAGGTGTGGGTGTGGCAAGGTTCTGCAGAGTGGCCAAATGTTGCCTCCAGTCTCGCTCTCAATTCCATTCTGTTGGTGGCCAATGTGTTGATGACTTTGTGTACCAGTTCACATTGCCTCCATTATTTCAATGAGCTCTCACTGAAGACTGTCAAACTTTTCTGGAATTCAGAACTGCCTGTTCTGAGTTGATTGCTATCAAGGCTTGGTTTTGTTCTTTATACATTACATTATGTACACTGAAACTCATGTACATCAATTTTGTCTGCTCACTCAGTTATCTGTAAGTCTTGTAGCATTCCTTGCCCTCAGCATTTGATTGCTTGTAGGGGCTTAGGATCATCAGAAACTCAGATGGCTTTATTCACCAGGTCATAGATGAAGATGTGAATAAAAATAAGTCTCAGTGACATTTCTCTACACTGAAAAGAGACCACTAAAGCCTTGCACTTTGCTCCTTATGCTTTTTAGCACCCGTAAATTTGTAGCAAAACCTTTCCCTAATGCTATATAAGTTCAGTCTTTTTAACCCCACTTTCAGTGCAGGACTTTGTCCAAAGGCTTTTTGAGACATGGAACTCTGCTGGGTTCCTCTATCCATGTGCCTATTGACACTTCATAGACTCCAGCACGTTAACAAGAAGTGTTTTCCCCTCATCCTAATGCTGATCCTTTCCTTAAAGATCTTATGTCAGGAAGCTGAAAATGCCATCAGGTCCCTGGGGTCATGAGATGATTGGGGATAGAGGATTTACCATCAAAGGACCTGTCCCTCATTTTTGGGGAGGTGAACTCGGGTATCATAGCCATGCTCAGATTCAGCACTGACACCCTCAGCACCTTGGCCAGCAGCTCTGCAGTTCCACATGTGAACTCCCTCAGGGCTCCTGAGTTAATGCTGTCCAGTACTGTGGACTTACTATTTTAATTTATCTGGTCTAATATTTAATATATTATTGTTTAAAATCTACTTTGTCTGGTGCAAAGAGTGGGTTAATTATGGGGATCTCTCAGCCATCCACCTCTGTGACAGACACACAATTACTTGGCTTCTCTGATGTGAGAAGACATCTCCAAGACATCTCCATGTCCTTTTTTACACTTCTGCTATCAAATACTCTGCTTTAATGCTATATTTTTGCATAGTCTTTGTTTCAATCATAGTAAACCTTCTCAAGATGGCAGAAAAACTGAAGGAATAAGGAATAAGTTAATATTGCATCACAACATCTCATCTGGACATTGTAGTGAAGACTCTTAAAGCTTGATCTTTTCAAAAAGTACCTGCAGGAACTGAATCCCAGGAGGGGCTTTAATGAAATACCTCTCTGAAAGCTCTTCCTTAAAAGATTTTGTAGTGTCTGAGAAGTGACTTCATCCTTCATCCAAGTCAGAAATTTGGGCCCAAACTTTGAAAATTAAGGATTTTTTTTTCATTCTTTCTACAGTAGCCCTAAGCTGGTAAAAGGATTCATGGAAATCACCATTAGTGGAGTTTTAATTGTGCTTAACTTCTGCCATAAATCACTATATTCCTTGTAGGAAAAAGGTGAATAAGTACAATTTACCTCTCTAAGCAAAGTTACTGAGTGGTTAGATTTGAACCACTACCTATAAGTGTTTTCAGTAACAAATAGAATAATTTTTAGTTATTAACACACTGGAAACATTATAGTATTACAACATTTTGAAAAGTGTATACATTTTCACATGACAGTTCAATTAGTAGTTTAAAGAAAACATAAAAATAACATTTTCTGTCCTCTCAGAATGTTTTGGTGATCACCAGACTTACTGATATTGATTGGTAACAGCCATGTGATAAAATAATCATTAAAATGCTTCTTTCAGCCTTTGAGGACACACTTTTAAGACTTGAAACCCTTAAGATTTAAAACTAAACAAGAGTTAGGCAAACCAGTCTAGGTAAGTCTGGACATGGAAGGGAAAGAATTAGGAGGCCCTGATGGGGGAACTCTTTTAGGTTTTGCTGTACTCCAGAACTTGGGGGTTCTTTTCCTAAATCTTCATTTCCTTGACTCCTCCCAGACATTTGAAAGCAGTGACTGACTGCAGCACAAGTGGTTGGTGGTGTCTCAGGGATTACTTCAGTTTGGTGGCACACCAGGTAGAGTTTCAGGAGACTCTTGCACGTTTCACTTGTGTTTTTCCTGCTGTGGGAGGGACATGGCCAGACCCCTTGGCATCCAGCTGATGGAAGCAGTTCATGGAGAAGCAGCAGCCTTGGTAACCCAAAGCAATCGTTTCTTGCTGGCCCATGGTCTTCTCTTTCCTTCCCAAGTCTCTACTGCCTGTGCTATGTTTAGAACTAGACACGGCCCTATCCCTTAGCAACATGGAACCCTCTTTTCCCCTCCCACTTCTGCAAAAACTGCAATATTTGACAGCATCCTAACACCTGCTGTACTGGGAGCTGCTGGACTATCGTAGGTAATAGACTGTTGAGCAACTTTGACACATTTCACATTTTCTGCAGAATTCATTATATATAATTAATAATATTATTAATTTCTGTAAGTAATTAATAATATTATTAATTTCTGACTTATACTTTATTTTTGCTAAATAAAATAATATTAAAAAAAAATAGATCTTTAAAGACTTCATTCCTCAAAGAAGAGGGAAGGATGCATTTTACTGTCTCTTACAGTTGTCAGCAGCCCATGGAACAGGGAAGGCAACATTAGGAAAAGGCAGAATTCATCAGAAGGTTATTCAGCTTTTGAATCCACAAAACACAGATGCTATAAAACACCAGTCAGGCAAACACTGAACAGCTCAGCCTCCAGAGCAGTGTGCTGTGCATGCTCGTGCAGTTATCACATCTGCTTTACCTCCCAAGCTGAGTGGAAGGGGAGAAATGCTGAACTTGTGGTATTTGTATTGAATTGCAGCAGTTGTGTTCAGTCAGCCTTTTTGTTTCTCTTTGTTCTAAAATATTTTGTGCTTATTTTTGCCACTCTTCTATGAAGTGTTATTTTTATAATGGCCGCTTTCAGTATCAAATAGAATTCTAATATCCATTCCAAAGCTGTATCTTTTAAGTTGCATGTAATAATACATATTTGATCAGAATTCTGTCAAGCCACATATAGATTTTACTCAAAATGCCTTCTTAATTAATACCTATAGAGCCATGGTGGCCTAATACTGAGGCCAAGCTTTGCTTGGCTGTACCAACCTCCAGGCATCTGTTTTGGCTTTCCAAAATAGCAAGTGTTTTGTTTCTCTGTGCCCATTCTTCCAGTCTCTTGAGAATATTTGTCTGTGTGCTTTGCAAATACTATGAACGACACGTCACTGCAACGATGGCATTGGGAACATTTGATTTACTCGGATCCGGGTGACTCATGAGCTTCCTTTTAGTCTATCAGTGGGCAATACTGCCAATATTTAAATTTTCCCTGGCTTTTGATGGTGTGGATGGACTAATTTTATGAACTAAAAATAACTGTAGGTGTGTGATGCTGAGCATCCACTGGCAGACAAGTCGATGGACCCACTCAGCATCTCTCTGGACACAGCCTGGGGATCCCTGGGGAGGCTGCTGGCAGAGTGGAGCCTCTCTGCTGAGTGGAGCCTTTGCCTGTGCTGCAGGCCTGGATGTGGCACTCAGTGTAACAGCAGTGAAATGTGTGGTGTGGCTCTATCTTTATGTGGAAAATAACTTGAGAGGGTTCTGTCTGGATCTCCTACCAAACGTAACGTTGCTTGTGTCAGGGCTACCCCATGGTCTTTACTGCCATCTTTGTGCCACATCTTTGCTTTGGGGTTGAGTGGGTTATTAATGCAGGAGGTTTTGCTCACTAATGAGTCCATGGCTGTGGCCAAGAGGGACTTTTTAGTTTGCTTGCTTAGTGTCTCTGCTGTCAGAAGAATGATCTCAAAAACACACCCTGAGACCTATAGACTGTTACCATGTGACTGCTGGGTGGCCTTCAGACTGTGCTTAAGGTAGAGAATGGAAGGTGGCAAAATGCTTTTAGCAAGGACTTTTTAAAGCAGATATGCAGCACCATAGTAATTGCTGTAGAATTTAGAGGACATGCTGTAAGGTTGTCTTCATTTTCAGAGGAGTGTAATTATTAAAGTGGTCAGTGATCATAGTTATTTGGTATTTTGTTTCTAATAACAGCTTTAACATGTAAATAATGAAAGAAAATATTGTATTCTCATTAAGAAACGTCAGTATTCAGAGCTGTGGAAGACATATTAAATTTCTCTGAATTAGATAAATTAAGAAACAACCCTCCATTCCCCAAACTTTAACCAAAATTAATCTTACAGAACTTAATTATACCTTCTCTGTGGGTTGATGGCTTCAGCTGTTTGAGAACAATCTGGTACCAAAACATTGTGTGTTTAAAAAGAGTAAGTACACATTGTCCTGATTGCTGATTCATTCAGGAAGTGGAATCAGAGTATCTGTTTGGTTTTGTGATGCTGGTGAGATCTTCTCCTGTTGCTGCTGGAGCATGATAAACATTTCTTGTAGCACATAACCTGTGATGAGTCTTTGACCTGGAAAGTTCCTCAGGTCTTTCTTGCCTTTTCCTTTTGTAACTCCCAAAGCATCTTACACAAGTTGTGTAGTGATACTGAAGATGCATTGTGCTCTGCAATGCACAACTGTATTGTCCATGTCATCTTCTACAACTGCATGGAGGAGAGCTACAACCAAGAAGTAACAGATGTCTGAATAGAAAAATGTATAATCATTAATATGTATTTGATCTATTTGGCTTTAGGGCAGCTGACTCGGCTTAATGTTTGGATAATGGTGAGCAACCTCCTTAGTTCTGCACTGCAGGCTGGAATTTAAATGGAATCTTACAATAAAGCTTGTACTGTCATGACAAAAAAGCACAAATAACTATTTCTGAAGAGCCTTGGTTGTATCATATGGTTCTATGGCTCTTCAACCTTCTGTAATGTGCCTTTCTTCTATTTTGTCTATTTGGGTCAAGGTGCTCCAAGTGAAAATGCAAAATAAGGCCAGAACCCAGGTGAGGTCTGAGTGTAGGTCACATTCAGATTCCATACTAAGCAGAATATTGCTTGCCTGCAAGTTTTGTTTGAGTCAAAAAACAATAAGGAAAAATTTGCTTATATATGTACATATATGCACAAACATCTAAGGATATCCTATTTAATGCAGATGATAAATACCATGAAAAATCTTCAGAAGGGTAGAGCTGTTCTTTCCAGAACCAGTTTGCTGATAACAAATTGTTTCAGTTGTGCATGGAGCTAAATGTTGCCCAACCCTCATTACTGAATCTGACCAGTAACTAATGAAAGCCTCATGTGAAAGTCATAGCAATACCTGCTGCTCTCATCCTGCTGATTTTAAGAATTTCTCCTGTGGATATATCTGTGTGCTGATGCTGTGGGAGCTTGTAGAGAAACTTTGCAGTATCTTGAATGTAAAATTCATAAAAACATCCCAAGGCACAGTTCTTCTCATCTTCCTGCAAGGCCACAGTAGAGTTGACTTCTCCCTGATAGCAGTGATATATAAAGGCATTTTTATGACTAGAGGATGGAGTTTGTAAAATTCAATAAATTCATCTCTCTGCTGTCCTTTGGATGTCTGTCAAAACTGTAAATATACCAGAGCAGTAATATAAGGATTCTCAGTCCTCAGAATCCTCATCTGTGACCAAAAGGCTGCTGTTTAATTTCACCAGAAGTCAGGATCTTTGTCATGGACTGTAGAATAGAGGACTGGAGCATGGAAGGCATCAAATGGCCCAGGAAACTGTAGGAAATGATAGCTAGACTGTATTATATTGGGTTCTTTATTTCATCATGAGAATTTTATGTTAGGAAAAAATTTGAAAATAAGGGTTGGGAATCAGGAGAGATTTCTGTATATACATATACTGTCTCACTGTATGCCTATGGGAGATGTATAAAGTAGCTTTTATCCTGCAGGATAGCACCTTGATAAAATCTATGTATGGTACTGTATGTTTGGCCACCAGAGTAATTAATTCCTGTTTCTTTGATGCCTTTGATATTGTGAATAAACTAATTCAGCTTTAGTTTCCCTTTTACCGTGACAAAGATCATGGGAGAATTTCTCCAGTCTTGATTGGAGATTTATTTCATTAATGCAAAGGCACAACAGCGATCACAGTACTCCACCCTGCTCTGCAGAGCTGCTAACAGAACTGAATAACAAAGATTGCATGGTTTTTTATACTATACAAATGGCATTTCAGACTGAAAATACAGCTTTAATAGTCATGTTGTTTGAGCTGCCTGGAACCCTAGAATCCCTCTCAGTGTGGGCACTGAAGAACTTTTTAATCTCACTGGTATCAGTTACTGCATTAATTTATTTTTGATTTTCATAAATACACTTTAAGTCAGACTCAGGATTAATATGCATGAAATGTCACTGAGGGCCAGATGTTCAACTGCTGTGTAATGACATTGGCCCTTCTGAGGGCAGTGAGATAACTGCAGTTTATGCACTTGAAGTATTGAGCTCTAAACTTTGGTTTACAGTAAAATACAGTTACTCCCATACCTGAGTACAAGTAAACTCCAGTTATCATCTTGAACATTGTTTTAATGGGTCCTCCAGGCTGTTTGTACACTTAATTTTTTTTTTTGTTTTTCTCTCTTAGTGTTGGAGCACTCGTGGGCCTGTCAATAGCAGCAGTGGTCCTCTTTGCTTTTATCATCACTGTGTGTGTTCTCTGTTATTTGTTTATCAGCACCAAGCCACGCAGCAAACTTGATACTGGTTTGAGCTTACAGACAGCAGGTAAGACCAGTTGTTATTGATTTGCATTATCACCTGCAGAGGAAAAGCCTTATTCTGTCTTTAAATGGATGTGGGGGAATCCAACAGTGTGTGTTTTCTTTCTGATGGGAATGTCAAGATGTAATCAAGCTGTCCTGCTGCATGCCTGATCTGTGAAATCTGCACCAAACTCAAAACATTTAGCACGAGCTTAGTATATTTATTTAGTAGTAGGAAGAATGTAGAAGTTTGCAATACTGATTGGGGATAAATTAGCCCCTTTATCAGGAAGAGGCTTATTGATTTAGTTGCTCTGGATTTCCTGTCAAGAGTACATAAACATATAGTAGTGATTCATTCTAGGAATAAGAATCTCAGAAGAGATTTTAAGTGTATTTTCTTGTGACAGAGAGAGGTCATTCTTTTTTTTTTTTTTTCTCTGTTTGTTCCTGACATAGGATCCAGATTTTGAAGTCTAAAATTCTTTATTTCAGTAGCAGTAGTCCATGCCTTTGTGCCCAGACTGTGTTGGCAGATGCCTGCAGGAACAGTGCATGTAGTCAGCATTAACCCACTCACATGGGAAAATTGCTGCTGCTTCTGCTCCAGTTCACTACATTTGTAAAATCTCCTTGTCAAGATGGGGTGTGATAAGTTTCACCCTTTGTCTTGGACTTCCTAAATATTTAAATGAACTGCTTCAAAAGTTCAGCCAGTAAAGTTGTAGAAAATAAAATGAATATTGTACTTATGTAGGCATGGGAAATTCAACAAGTTGAAAAATGGGAATAATTCTAGGAAAAAAGTCCCCTCAGCTCAAGTTTTCTCTTTACTTGTTATTTAAAATGCTTCTATACCTGCATGGCAGTAAATGGCCAATGAGTTACTGTAATTACAGCTTATTATAGAGCAGTAAGCCCCCTCCTGAGTGTCTAGTTACCACAGTCCACTTCATATCAAGCTTCCTATTTTCTTCTCCAGAGAATGCAGGCTTTGGTTTAAAAGTGGTTCATTGGTTCATAGAGCTGTCAGATCTGCAAAGCCTCCCTTTGTAGCTGTGTGAGGTGAGCAAGCTGCCAAAGTCACACATTCAGCAAACTGCTACTAATCTGCAAATTGAAAACTTCACACTTGTCCTGGAGAGAGAGTGGAATTAAGACCTGCTAGCTAGAACAGGCTAAATAAACTCTTGGGTGGGATGAACAAAATGCTCTCGTGCTCTTCCACAAGATGGTTGTGTCTTAATTATAAACTGGCATTATGTTTTTGAATGTGTTGCTGTTTAATTTCTTCCCTCAGGTTTTCCTGCTATGGCACCAGCTCTTAATCCACTGCCAGGACAGGAGTTCTGTATTTCTCATGCCTTTTATTTTTGTGCCAGACCTGTTTGGCATGTGAGGAGCTGGGAAGGAGGCAGGTGCTACTGCACCACTGCTGCCAAGCAATTCCATCTTTCTGTACGGACTTGAACCCTGCTGCAAACCCACATCCTGCTTGGGTGGCAAAGGCTGTTCCTCTCTTTCTGAAATGAGGTGAACAGCATCCCACTGATGACCCAGCATTCATGTAGGCATTCCAAGCCACAATTCCAAACCTTACGAGGCTGGGAAGCCGAGGGATCTTTGCTTTTTCCCAGCTATCTTCTGTGTGGTTCAGAACTTTGTTAGGACAAATTCCTTTGAATTTAAATACATTTTTGACTGCTCTCATATTGTGTTTTCTGCTTTTGTTATTCTGCTTCTTTGGCTGCTTCAAATGAAAATGATTTCACATCCAAATTCTCACAGCTTTGGCTGTTGGTGAGGTGGGTTGCTGGAAATTGAAAGCCAGTTGCTTTGCCAAGGTTGAGAGATCTTTGGAAATGTTTTAGGATTTCACTGACAAGCCTGAGTGCTTGTCTTCATCATACTTGGGTTTCTTTTGCATGGAAGTCATGCAAGGGCTGAGTGTCTAACAAGATGGCTGGTTAGCTGCTTGCAGCCCTGGAGAAAATAAAAACAGCCTCTCTCCTCATCTTTCAGTTCTTGTGAGAGTCCAGGATAAGCAATAAAAACAAATTAAAAAATTAAAATAGTTTTTAGATGCTTCAGAAAGCTGCAGGCCTGAGGGCCCTGAGTTTTAGGTATGAACTCAGTTCAACACAGCTTTTTCTGAACTAGCATAATTTTGGCTTTAGATGAAGGCTGTGTCACACTTTAGTTGTTGTGTAGCATCTGGATCCCTGGAGCACTCAGAGAGCACTCATTTTTGAAAGCAGTATTTTTTATTATATTCAATTTCACCCATAATACATCAGCTCAGTTGGAGCTTCATATCTCATTAAACATACAATTGGTTATTTTATGCCTTTCCCTATCTCACATAATAGCAAAAGTTGGTCATTGTTCTTGGGCTCATCCAGGATCTCGTAAATACAGAAGTGGAGTGGTTGAATTTTTACAGAAATAATTTTCAGATCAATGATAAATCTAAAAATAAACTGAATATGAAGCTCTTTATTAAAGTTTCTGATTCTACAAAAGGCATATTAACTGGAATTTGCCTCTGTTTAGCCTTAAACAAATGGTCTTCCATTGCATCTGCACAGATCTTCCATTGCATCAGCACAGACCTTCCATAGCATCAGCACTGAGTATTAGAGATTGGGTTCTTAAGTTAAATAAGGATGTTTTAGCCCTAGCAAAAATTTACATTTTAATCTGAGCATTGAATTTCAGGAAAAATGAGCTCAGCCACTGGTATAGACAAGGAAGAATTACTTAGATGTTACTGGAGTTAGACATTTCTATTTGTAGAGTGCAGAGTTGATCCATAATATGCAAGACAGTATGTGCAGGCACACATATAAATGAAGATCCTGCATTTCAGTTGCTGGTTAAACTCTTTGCAAGAGAAAGTATTTTTCATTGAACTCATTGTAGATGTTTTTGTTTCTCCCATTTGAAAGCTGGGGACTTGTAACAGTGGTAAAAGAAGGCCTCAAAGAAATCCAAGCCCTGAATATGCAAACATTACATATTTATTCAAGGTGTGAGGGAATTTGGTCATGTGCTTTGTTCTTCTTTTAACAAAAACTTCTCTTTTTGCAAAGGATTTATCCCCTTCAAAATGTGAAAAGCTAGGAAATCACAGGATTTTAAGTGTTTTATAAGGCTGAATGAATAATGCTGGAACATCCCCACAATGCAAGATAAGGAGGACTGAGTAAATATTGCATAATTGTCAGGATGGGAGTGGTAAACAGGCAGAAAAGGGGAAATCCAGAGGCACACCTTGACTCTGGGAAAGGTGCACACACACTTGCCTTGACCAGGCAGCTGATGGGAGAGGGGTGATCATCTCTGCTGGCCCTCTCTCCAGCTTGGTGACCCAAACAGTTTTTGACCCAAACATTTTCTGAGTTGCCCTGGTATTTCTGCCAGGTCTGGAAAGACCTTTGAGATGAAGTGTTCCATGCCACTGCAAAGCATGAATAGCAAATTACATTTTATGATGATAACTAATACTTTTCCCTTAAAATTTAGCACAGGAAGACCTCTATAAATGTGTTCAGAGTCAGACAGGGACCTTTGGGTTGGAGTGTGAAAGACTTGTGGCCTTGTAAATTAATCATAAGTGCTAGAGAAGATGTGCTTTAATAAAAGTTATTAATTCCTTGCTCTTGCAAGGCAGTGACGTCATAATATGCAAAAGTTCATGGTTTCATTTCATAACAAGGAAAAACACAGCTTGAAAAATAGCCAGGTGACTTTTCTGTCCCTATTTCTCTCCTTAATTAAAGATTCCTCATGGGGAGTTATTCACATATAGTAAATATTCAGGTATTTTGATGAAAAAGCACGAAACCCTCATACTTTGTTTTTCTTAGCTGAGTACAATTATTTGACTATTGGTTGTGAAAGCAGATAGCTGCTGTCTGAACTCAGATGCACTGCTTGGCTTTTGAAGTGTACTCCCATAGTTTTGCCTTCTAGGTTTAGGAATAATTTCAACTGTATGGCGTCCTCGTAGCTGGCTTTAAATTTCCCCAGTCAGGCTACTTTTATCTGTGCCAGTCATCTACCTCAGATTTCTGTATGGGGAAACATCAGCCAAATGGGTTCAACTGTTTAAAAGCAAACACCTATTTTTTTTTTTTTCATTTTAAAGCTGAGAATTCAAATTTAATGGAAAGGTGCATCACTAGAAAAGACTGAATTTTGAAATGTCTTTATCAGACTCCTTAGCTTTTAAATTTCCCAGACTTTCTTGTAGCAGTGAGATTTTTGCAACTCATTAGGAATCAGGTTTTTTACTACAAATATACCCATAGCTGCTGTAGGCTTCAAAAATAAAGTGCCTTTGTCTGTAACTGATAAGAATTCTTTTTTCTTCTTTTTGGGTTTGTTTTTTTCCCAGTTGAAGTAACTCACTCAGTTATTTTCAACTAAGATCTTAGCTTAAATACTATTGTGCAGATTTTTTAAAATGCTAAACTATCAAATCCCATTTTTACATGTTTTAAACCAAATTGCAGTTTTTTCAATTCAGACAAAATAAAATAAAATGCAGCTTTCAAAACACCTCAATAACAAATAATTCCCCTTTCCCAATCTGGTTTGCTTCAGTTTGTTATTAAATGAAAATATTAGCATTCTCAATTTTTTATCCCTTTTTGGATATAGGGAATCTGTTTTTCAATCCCTTCCCCACACACTGGCTTGGAGAAAAGTACCTGCCCAGTTAAATTTATCTTTTCTGTCTCTTTGTGTTGGCCCACATTTGGGAAAATGGAAAATGAGGTCAAAGACAGCGTTGAACTAAAGGGTAATGGGAAATACAGGGAGGCCTGGGAGGAAGATTGATGAGCTCCACAAGGAGAATTAGATGACAGGATAAAGCAGAGAGAGGCTTTGGAGCTGGCAGATAAAGGAGAAAACTTCAAGGAGCTGAATGCTCCTGGGAGCTTTTGGAAGAGGGATGGGCCTGATGGAGCTGGGAGCAGCAGAGCAGGGAGGCAGCTGGAGGGGATGGAGAAGGTCCTGGGGGCCAGGAAGGGGTGGGCTGAGCAGCAGAAGCCTGGTGCTTGGGGAGAGAGCTGGAGAGGGAGCCTGGCAGAGGGGGAATCATGTACAGGGCTGAGATCTAGGGCAGAGAAAAGGGAGGAGAGACTCCAAATATGACTTTTTATTCATGGATATAGGGACTATCGTGGGAAGGATAGTAGCAGAAAATAAGGACTGGAAACAGAATGAGGAAAGTGAGAAGGGAATGAAAGAACCAGTATCAGGTAAGAAAGAAAATAAGTTGAAAGTGCATGTAGGAAAGTCTTTTCTTCTAGAGCTTTGTTTTCTCAGCTGGCAGCAGGGATCAGTGGAAAGTGGCAGAGTATCTCTCTCCTCCCTCCCTGCAGTGATCCACCGCAGGCTGCCTTTGCTTTAGTTACTCTGGTCAGATGGCAAACTCGAGTTATCTGCGCTGAATCAAAAGATTCCTGCCCTTCTGCTCCAAGCAAGTGTCTGTATCAGCTGGTGGAATTTTAACTATTGCTTACGTTGACCTATGAAGCTGTGCTCTGAAAAACAATGTTCAAATGCTACTAAGCTTCAAAACCAAACACTCAAAAGATGGGAGGTGCCAGAACTAAAGATTTTGTAGGAAATTGGTAAAGTGCTTAACTAAAAATAGTTTTATCTGCTCCTGTCATCATGTAAATCTTTCTATAAAACTTGGGTAACTCTTGGAAAGAAATATTGTGAGCCTCCCTCCACACACTCGGAGCTTTGGGGTCACTGGATGAAGGTGCATGGAAAGCAACAGTGACTGATTATGTTTGGAGAGGGATGAAAGTTTGAGATTTCTGGTTTGTTTTCGTGGATATGGGAAATTTGTAATGCAATTTTTTTCAGAAGACTTTTGATTTCCTGCTACAAGCTCAGCTTGTACCACTGTGCTGCTTCTTTAAACTGCTCTTCACTTTGATGTTTATTCCTTTTTAACACAAATAAGTTAATAATTGCAGCCTCCCCGAGGCCCAGGAATGCAAAGTGGAATGGATTCGATCTGTCTCATCTAAAAATTGTAGAAGATTCCAGGAACTGTGGTTTTTCTAGTGCAGTGGGCATATCTATGTATTACTACTTGCAACTGATGGAAGAATAATGCTCTTAATTCTTCTAAAAATGTCTTTGTTTTACAGACAGTGAGGCCAGAGGGAGTTCGATATGTTAAAGACAGAGGCACTGAATGGATTCTGCCAATGTTATGAAGAAAAGAGGTACCATTAGAACATTTCTTTTTATCTGATTCTGTTGTATTTGTATACTCTCTACTCTGTTTTACATGGATTTTATAAAATTATTCTTTATGTGGGTTTTTAACTTTTTGAAAAGCACTAGCAAACTGTCTCTGGCTGATTTATTTATACACTGCCCTGATGCTGTCCTTGCACAGGGATGTATCTGCAGAGACTTGGACAGAGTCCTTCCCCAGACAAATCTCTTCCAGATTTACTGGCACTGAATACTCCATCATGGTTATGTGCCAGACAAGATTATATTCCCTTATGCTGTTATTGTCCTTTCCCTGAGCTGTCCTGGGTGCACCAGAGCTGACTAAGGAGGCAGACACTGTAACTTATTCAAAAGAATTTCTTTAGTGATGAATTGTCAGAAAGGCTCCTGTGTGACAAAGGGTGAAAGCTGTGAAGTTTCTGGTGGGCAGTTTAGTCTTCCATTTCTTCCTGGGGATGCAGGAATCAGTGCCAGGTAAATTCTGCTACAGAACTGGAAAGAGTTATCTTGCAAGAAAGTTGATTTTTATGCTGAAATCATGTGTAAAGGTCAAACTGCCTGTGGCACAGACCATGCAGAATAGTGTTTAAAATGTACCCCATTACAGATGAGTTGTACTTCAGACTTAAGAGGGCTTTATGAATAATGCAAAGGACTTCAGATGGCATGAAACATGCATTTTACTTTCTGCAGGGGGTAAAAGCTCATGGCTTAACAGCCACAGAATGTGGGAATAGCTGCAGATCAGCAATGTCTATCACAAGAAAAATAAGTGGTCCTGTTTGCTCAGCAGTTGTTTTCAGATGAGCAGGAAAGTACATGAGTCAAGACTTCCTTCTTTCACTTTTTCACTTAAAAAACCACACTGTGCATCCCAAGTGCAAATGCATCTTTCTCAGAGCTCTTTATCAGAATAACACGTTGATTTTGGCTCCTTGTCCTTATAAAAATACTGAAGTGTAACAAAACTAATTTCAAAACTCCTAACCACCTCCACACATTTTTTTTTCTGCTGTTGCAAATGAAATGGCTTGTGGGAGAAAAATGCCATGGAAAGACTAAAATGGATCCTGCAGTCAGAAAGCCGTCTGTAGTGAGAAAATCCAAAAATATCTGAGGCAGGCACCAAGTACTGAGATGAGCTGAGCTCTGTGAATGTGGCATTGCTTTTTGAAGGCCAGGAGCCTCTCATTTCCTCATGCTTCTCTTTGCCTGCTTTTCTGTCGTGGTAGAGAGGCTGATGTTTATAGGTGCCTGCTAACCCACTGTTGCTTACAGGGAGAGAATTGAGAGAGATCTGGAAAGGACTTGGATAGGGGTTGAATGCATGCATTATATAAAGACCAAAAAATCTGGAAGCTTTTTTTGTGGATGAATTACCCTTTTTTTTTTTTTTTGCCAAAATGAGGCTGGCATTGTGAGGACTGAAAATACTTGAGACCTCATTTGGAGCTAAATCCAGAAAAACTATGTCTTTAGCCTGTGAGCCTTTTTGCTTCCTGATTCAGAATGGAAAAGGAGGCAAGGATCTTTTCTGAACTTCAACACATAATATGGCTAAGTATTGGTAGAAATTCCAGTCTCTTATTCTTTTTTGTCTCCTGCTTTTCACATGTGCTTGCTGCAGATTTCATACCCACACCTGTCATGGGGAGCCACTTCACAGTGCAGCATTAAGCCAGAGAGTCCATCAGTGGCTACAAATTCCTACTGCTGGGAGAAAGCTACAGGTTCCAATTAGATTTCCTTTAGCAGGCATATTTCTTCTGCCAAATTCACTGAGTTTTAATTAGGAACAGGACCCCTTGTGCCTGGTGTAGTTCAGCACACAATTCAAGCTTGTTTGCTTGCTCTTTTCCAGCAAAAGGGCAAACACAGCTCTTAGCTTTACAAAGGGAAAGGAGAGGAGCTAGGCAGATTAAGGCATTGCTTCTAACTTAGAGTGATAATACATTGAATTATTAAGTAGTTGAGCTATGCACAGGAAAAATCTGACACAGATTTTGTGAAGACAGATCATGACAAATCAATCTAATTTCTCTCTTTATCAAGATAATTTTCCCTATCAGGTAAGTGGGAACAAGTGGCTGTGATTACAGATAGTTATGAAAATGCAGTCAAAGGGAAATTTTCAGTGACTCATTCTCAAGCACATTTTTGGAGGGAAGAAGGATGTCTTGGGAAGTGTCTGGCACATTATCCCAGATAAGTAGTAAGAGCTTGGAGAAGAACTAAAGAGCACATGAATAAAATTTTTGAATTACACCACCCTGAGAAGGGTTGCAAGACTCTGGGGCTAAAAATACCTTTCAGAATTATCTCTGTGCCCTCAAAAAATGTTCTGAAATTTTAAAAAAAGTGAAATAGAATAAAAATCAAGGTACTGTAGTTAAAAAGGAGAAACCAATTCCTCAATTATAATTAAAGAAGCTGACTAAATAGTGAAGAAATGCTTCCTAATGTCCAGTCTAAAGTTCCCCTGGTGCAGCTTTGAACCATTCCCATGCATCCTTTCACTGGATACTGGGGAGAAGAGCTCAGAGAATCACAGCATGGTTTGGGCTGGAAGGGACCTTCAGGATCATCTGTTCCAATCCTGCTCTCATGGACAGGGACACCTTCCAGTAGACCAGAGCTCAGATCTCCATCCCACCTGGCCTTGAACACTTCCAGGAATGGGGCATCCACAGCTTCTCTGGGCAGCCTGGGCCAGGGCCACCATTCTCTCCACATTCCCCTTCTCAGGAATCTGGGCAGAGCAGTGAGGTCACCCCTCAGCCTCCTTGTCCCTGAACGAGACAAGCCCAGCAGGGACACCTTCCAGTTGACCAGGCTGCTCAGATCTCCATCCCACCTGGCCTTGAACACTTCCAGGAATGGGGCATCCACAGCTTCTCTGGGCAGCCTGGGCCAGGGCCACCATTCTCTCCACATTCTGCTCCTCAGGAATCTGGGCAGAGCAGTGAGGTCACCCCTCAGCCTCCTTGTCCCTGAACGAGACAAGCCCGAAGTCCTTAGGCACTGCTCATGGGACATTCCTTCCACCTGTCCTTCCAGCCCTTTCTCCAGCTTTGTTGATCTCTTCTGGATGCTTTCGAGTACCTTAACATTCCTTAGATTGTGGAACCCAGAACCACACTCTGTGTTCACAGTGAGACTGCAGCAAGGCTCAAGACAGCAGGAGAACCCCCTCTTCTGAGCAGCTGGGTATTTATGGGTGTCTGACACACCCCAGGGTGGGGTTTGCCTCCTCTGCTGTCAGCCAGATGGCAGTGCTGGGGAAGGGTACACATCTAACTTTACGTGTATGTCTCAGGTTTTCATTTAAGTTCATCAGGAATGTGTAACCATCCTCAGAGTCTTCATCAGAAAATAATCTAGAATCTACAAAAAGTATCACTGCTAATTCAGATGAGCATCAGTCCTCTCAGTGAACTAGTACTGATGTTCTTTGCTGGTGAGGATGCTCTTGCTGCTAGTTGCCATCTGCCTCGAGTCCAAGATTTCATGCTTCAGAACTTCTGTCAGAAGCTAAGTTAGCTGAAATTGTCCAGCCAGACTTCAGTGTATGTCCATTTTTTTGCATATTTAGAAGCATTTGCTTCTAAACCCATCTGTACCAACAGCTGTTGTGTTTTACCTCAGAATCAATCCTGCTTTAATGAGCAGTAGAGCAATTTATTTGTATAGTAATTCCTCAAGTGTAGTTTGGAATATGTTCTGGTGTCTTTTGGGGTTCAAGGCACACATTGCAAGTATGTCTATCATTAAAAAGAAATTAAATGCATGGTTTGATGTAGATATTAGTGGTGCATTTTCCAAGAGGCACTGCATAGAAATGTTAGGTGAATGACTGTCTTTATATACAAAACCTTTTCATTTTGTTTCAGCACAATTGTGTGGGCCTTTATCACATGCAAGGGGAAGTTCTCACTTGCCCAGCAGAGGAGCAGCAGCAGAGTTACCCATCCACAAACATCCCCAGAGGAGGCACTTAGTGTTTCATAGCTTTAGTAATGCCCTTTAGGGGTGCTGTTCTTCACCTGATAAAGGTTAGGAATATAATGAGATACTTGGAAAGAAGTATCTGTGCCAGTGAAATGGATTGAGTCGTGTGGTTTGTTCTGGATTTTTTTTGTAGGAAAAAATTTCTTCCCCTGTTCAGTCTAATTTGTAACTTACTGGTATTTTGCAGATACAGAGCTGCATCCTTAACAAAGCCCCCACCAAAACAAACAGAGCCAAGTGACTTCAAGACACTTCCTGAGCCACAAGGATGGACTGTGACTGTAAGCCACAAGAACCTGACTCATTCTTCCAGAGGTGTTTCCTGGCTCTCATGACCACTGTCGATAACCTGAGGCCAATCTGAAGCTGTGCCAGGCTGTGTTTGTGTGTGGTTGTTAGCTATACTGAGCAGTTGTGGTTTTTGATTTGCACATGTCAGCTACTGCTGTTCAGTCATTTTCATGCAGGTTGTCTCTACCCTCTGCAATTCCAGTGAGATAACACAGTTGTCAAGCAGAGCAGAATTTGGCACACCATGTTGACCAAGCTTTATTTTAAGCTTTCCCCATGTGCCATCTCAGTGTAGTGTCTTCATGTCATGAACATGGTTGTCTTTAGCCAAATGTGACTGTTCAGTGCACAAACCAATGTGAATGTAGTACCTCAATAAAATCTGGCATTTGTGTTGTATTTTTCTTAATTTATCATTTCCCTCCACCTTTTTTTCCTCAGAATATTTTTGTGAATCTTGAAAGTACTTTGATGGGAAAATTTTCTAACAAAAGGTGAAGTTTATAAAGAATGAATTTTTGTAGGGAAGTTAAGACTTTAACAGCTATTTTCACTGGCATTGGTATACACTGAAATGAATTGAAATCAACATCCATGATTGTTTTGCAGATTCTTCATCAAAACATGTTGGAATATTTCTTGGGAAGCAAACTAAAATTTTCCAGTAGTATTTCAGTTTGGAGCACTAATTTGTGAAATGTTGAACTTCCTTCAGGTAATCAAAGAGCTCTAATTGCCCATTTTATTTCCCCAGAAGTCTTAGGAACAACCAAGACAATCTTAACTGTCATATTTGAGTTGTCAGTTCTTTCAAGTTTCAGTCTTGAAATCATGAACATTAGTGATAATGATTTCTTTTCATCTTGTGAGGGTTCTTAAAGGTGAGTGATCAAAAGAATTTCAAAACTGTTTAACCATGCTGTTGATATTAAGGCAGTAGACATAACTTCCATTTGAAGATGAGGCCTAAAATATTTACCTACCATGACAATTTTGTCTGTAGTTATACTTCAACTTGTAAAGACAAAATCCTTGTCTACTTCTTGGGAGTGACTTCTTTTCGTGTTCTAGTGCTTGAAATTTAAACTCTGTAGCTGTCTGGTACTGTGCATCAAAACCCCAAAGTGCTTCTGATCTCATCTGCTCTTGTGTGAAATAATGAAATAATACACCAGTGCCTCCCACTGAAGCAGAGAATGTGGTGTATGTTCTTCCAATAGCTGTCTGTATATGATATCTCATTAAACTGCTCTTTGCCACTATGGACTGGGAGAAAATTGAAACTACATCGGATGCATAAAGAAAATGTTTTCTAACAACAGGATATAAACCTGATCTTCTGGCCTCATAACTTTCTTGATTGGGACTGTCAAAGAGCAGAAGGGAAAGGATTTATGAGTTTTGCCATCTGGTTTCCTTGGAGGATGCCAGCCACGAGACAAATGTTCTGGAAGCATATGCTTCCTTTTGAACCACCAATAAAGGATTTATGGAAGATGAAAAAAAAATATTTAAGTTATTTTAACTTCATAAAAATTTGAGTCAGCACTTCTTTAATTTTTAAATACTAAGGTTGCTTAAAAGAAACAAGATGTACTCGATATTTTGAATGTTGCAAGATCAAAATATCTTTGATTTCTGTCTCTTGGGCGATTTCAAAATCTTTGATTCCTCAAAAAACAAGGTTATTTCCCCCTCAGATACTGGACTATTTATTCATTTCGAGTCTCTTAAGACACCAAAGTAACAGAATTAAAAGTAAAAAACAGAATGCAAAAAGAATGATTCCAGTTCTTTGGTTATGTCCAATGTCAGTTTTTGTTTTCTGTCACTGTGCTTAGGAAAACCCATTCCTTTGCCCTTTTAGCTAGTTGTTTTGAAATTGAGGGTTTCTAAATGTCACCAAAAAGTGCCTCCCACACAGGTTTGATTAGGGAATCAGCACACTGCCCAGAACAGCTTTCAAATGTAATGTGCAGTCACAACAAGGGTGACTCCCTGTGCTTAATAGGCATAATAAGCCTTAATGTACTTGTTAGACATAGCCCTAATTTTTGCCCTGGGAACATTTTAAGCTTAAATGGCCTAAATTACCCCATAAAGCAAATTCAGGGCTGTTGTGCCATCAACCATACAGAAGATACTAAATCTCACAGGAGTTGCTGTGAGCATTTTTTATTGTTTTTTAAAGTTGAGGAGTTTTTCTAATCATAGAGCCAAAATAAAAGTTGTGTGAAATAGGCCTCTCAGTCTGTGGGATGGAGAAGGAGTGTTTGTGTCTGTGCACACACAGCAGAGCAGCACGAGCAGCAGCTCCTGATGGATTTCAGTGGGACCAGGATGGCTGATCCCCACTGGCACTTCTGGGCCTGGCTGCTGCTCCTTTGGAGTCACGCTGGCAGAAGTGGCAGCTCACTGCAGAGTGATCTACTTTTGTCATCCCTACCATTCTCTAGATATTACAATATTTGTAACTGCATGTTCACTTAATTCAGTGTTACTGAATCTGACTTTGGGTCTAAGTAGAAAATACCTAATCAATGCTGCCACACAATCAGTCAAATATATAATGATTTTAATAATTTATAACTTTTAAGTTTAATTTCTGAAGGCTTTATCCTTCACAAGTTTTAAATTAAGGAAGAAAGACCAAAGAAAAGTTACAGTTTTACTGAATTAAAATAATGCCTGTTTATATTTTTTCCTAACATGACAAATGTTAGAGATCCTCACAACTGTTAACAGCCTTCAAGTTTTGGAAAAATTGAGGCAGGAAAAGCATAAAGATTCAGATACTTCCTGGGAATAAAAATGAGAAGATTTAAAGTTCTATTCTGTTAGCCTGAAGCTCACAGGAATCCTGTCTTTTAAGGTGAAGTGAGTAATTTAAAAATTTGTCTAGATGGATTTTTTGATAGATTTTGAAGTGGTCTTGTTCTTTTCACAGTCATTTGTTTGGAATGGTAGGAATTTAAGAAAAAACTTACATATTTTAACAGATACTGTATAGTGGGGTGGAGATCCACTAAAACTGTATTAAAAGCAGAGGATGAGAGGATTCTACAATGCACTGGCTTTTGGAAAATCGGCTCTGAGCTATGTGAAGGATGTCTGGTTCAAAAAAAAAGAGATCTGTGCTGCAGAGAGAAATTGAAAAAGTTGAAAACCTCATCTGAACAACCACCATCAGGATTTCTCCAAGTTCTCAACACCATTTGTTTCTGGGTCTTTGGAGCAGGGGCTGGTTTCTAGTGCTCAGCAGGATTATTGCACTTAGCATCTCTTGCCTGTCATTCTGTAGTTCCTGAGTGTGGTACACAGGTAGAGATAAGTGATTCAGGTATGTGTGCAGAGTGTGTATAAGATACCTTTGTATGGGAAGAACCTACCCAGGCACCTCTGAAATCCCTGAGTCTGTGACCAATATACTGAAATTTAGATCTCACATGTATTATAAACCAGCTACTTCAAAACAACTTTTTAGTCCTGTCCATTACTCCTATGCATTTGCCAACCTCCATCCTTTAGAAAAACTGTTGAAGAGCCTTGCTTTATATACTGAGAGTACATTTTGATGGCAGCAGCAAAACAGAGTGCTGAAATTGATTAGTGGGAACAGTGTAAGTTCAAAAGAGGTGCATATAAGCAGCTTTTTGCATCTGATATTTTAGGATATTAAGGCTGAAGCTTATGAAACCACAGCTTCCCTTTCCCCCAGTTTAAAAAGAAGCTGGTGGCAAGAGGGTATTGAGGGCCATGATGATTTTCTTTCCTCCATCAGCAGTGCTGAATATTTTGCCAGCTGAGTCACACAGTGTGACCTAAAGGTTTTGAGGGAAAATGGGTTGTTCAGGCTTTGGTTGGCTGTGGATGAACTTCTGCAGAGGGGCATGGACTTGGTGGGGCAGCATCTTACACCTCCTGAGCCCTTGTCCAGGCAAAATCTGGATCTGTTCCAAAAGGGTGGGCAGGCTTTGTCCCCAGAATTAGAGGAGAGTGAGCAGCTGGCTTATGAACATTTTGTGCTGTCAATTCTCATGTTTACTATGATAATCTGGATTTCATGGATAGCACCTTGCATTGGCCTGGTCCTTTGCCTTTATTGCTGCGTCTCTTCTCCGACTTCTCTCACACAGCTTAGAGCAGGTGGAAACCTTTTAGGTGTTGATGCAGGGTCAAGAGAGTACTGAAGTGGCTCTGCAATGGCCTTTATGTGACTGTACTCCAAGACAGAAAAGCCTTGTGTAAACCAAGCCTCAGGTTGGATCCATGCCTGCCCAAAGTTGTGACCTACTCCAGGGAGAGTGAGATGTTCTTCTTGTTCCTGATGAATGGCTACTTACTTCTGCAAACAAATGTAAGGTTAAGTATGTTTCCCTTAATGAATGTGCTGAGAAATTGAATCAGTGTTTTTGAATCAACCACAGAAATTTCAGTAAATTGGATCTGCTTCTTTTACAGTGCTGAATCAAAATGTCAGACCAGCACAACTCAATTATAGGAGAGGAAATAAAACAACATGCTGAATATCAGCAAGTTATTTCAAATTGCCAGTGCCATAACTACCTGTGGGAAATGAGAACGAACAAGGCAAAGATTCAGCTGTGGGAAAATTGGCTCAGAGCAACTTGTTTGCAAAGTTTCAAAGTGCATTTTTTCACCCCATCTGAGCTTTATAGACTGGCTGCACCCTTCAGTTACTGGTTTTGCTAGAGATGTTTTAGGTGCAAAGAAGTGAGGCAAAGTAACAGGAGAATCAGTATTTGTGCATTTTGTTTTTTAAAAGGTAAAGGAAGTTATTGTCCTTTCAGTCCAATGTTGGTTCTCATTTTGTCCTTTTTAAAAAAGATCCCAAAATCCTTTATCCAGAGGAGAAAATAATGCAGCTGGGAAATTTTTCTTTGCATTTTTAAGCAGAGATGATTCCTTATTTTAATGAACTTGGGAGACATGGTGAAGTGACTTTTATATCACGTGACATTGTGTCTGAGTGTTTCCTACAGCATGAAAAGCCAGAAATTGCAAGTGAAATATATGGATTTATTCATGATGAAGACAACAAATTCAGAATCTCTCCACAATTAACAGTTAACCCAAGAAATAGATTACCTATCATGCAATACATGTGTTTTTAAAAAATAATAAGGAGAGTTTGAGTTGCAATTGGGAAAGCAAGTGCTGAAGTTGTTGGCTGTAATGACTAAATATACAGATCAGGTCTGAGTAATATGTTTCTTCTAAGGTACAAGTTATTAGATCCTGTAATTTGTGAATATTTTTTTTTTTTTTTCGCCATTACCATGGGAAGGCAGAAACTGGCAAAGCAAAGATCACAAAGACTGGTTAAATCTGTACTTTTTATTTTCTCCATTACCATGGGAAGGCAGAAGCTGGGAAAGCAAAGATCACAAAGACTGGTTAAATCTCTTGGATAAAAAGACTGTGAAGTGGTGACTTCACAACAGGTAACTTGTCCTGCAGGTCCTCACCTTTGCCCTGAGGATGAACGCTCTGAACCTGAGCATCAGCTGCTGGTACAGCTGGTAAACACAACACCACTGTGGTAAAACTGTGGTTTCCTTCAAGCTTTGGTGAGCTTTTGTGTTTGTGGTTTTGGCTCTGTCTCTTCCCCTCGGTGCTGATTAGCATGTTAATGGCTGGCAGTTGGCGTCAAGATCCCTCTAATACGTCACAACTGGAGAGCTCGTTCCACTTGAGGCAAATAATATTCCTTGCAGGTTATCAACAGGCAGTGTTTCATATTTATCAGCTTGACAACAGCAGGTAGTGTGAGGAGCCTGAAGAGTCCTCAGTGGTAGCATGTAATAAAGTCAAATAAAGTACTTTTCTAAGTTATTCAGAATATCGTAATATCTTAAATAATAATAATAAAAAAGAAGTTGTAAAGCACTGCACAGTCAGTCTGTAGTGTTAGACAAGGGATGTGGAATAATACTTTAACTCACCAGCTAACAGTTTATTATGAGCCAGCCAAAAATAAAACCATGACAAAACATGATGTCCTATGCAGCTGCTTTTGGGAATAGCATAAGGAAGCATAAGATATCCCAGGACAGAGAAAAATGAAAGTGCAGAATTCTGTTTCAGTGATATAACGGGACTAAATTAAATCTGTAAGTTAGTCCTGTGGAATTCAAACACCCACAGAAGGAATTCACTGGCAGATCACTGGGCTGTATCTAAGCAGTACTCAGCATGCATTGCTTATCCCACATGGTAACATTCAGGGAAAAGGAAATAGACAG